ACGGATCATTTCAGTGAACATTATTTAGGTCAAATAAAAGCCAATTAGATTATCGTGATTAGATAAGTGACCTCAAAAATAAAAAAATCGAAAAAATCGATTTTGATCAGTGAAAAAGGTCACTTTTTCCAATGAAATATTCATCCAAAATAGATGAAATTTTCTCACATCATTGATAATCTAATTGGCTTTTATTTGAACCTAGAATTAATGTTCAATTAAAATTAATCCGTTAATTAGAATGATTTAAAGTTGGTGCCATTTGCATTGCTCACACATTATAAGACATGCAAATTTACTGAGCTTAATTTAAACTGCTCACTTTGAGCGTTTATTAAATCGGACTGAGTCCAAATTTTTTGATCATACTCAACATAAACTCTTATCCATCATTAACAATTGTTTTAAAACTAAATTCATTTAATTAAACCTAATAATTATCCAAATATTAGAGTTTAAATTTTGTGCCATTTTTTAGTTATCACCCCTTAGCCACACAGACAAGAATTAAATATGTAATATTGACAATCACGTTTCTCTTTATTTATAACAATGATTGCACTTATCTCGCGACTTCTGTGATTCAGATAACTGGATATTGAGAAAAATATTACAGTGTTAATTCACACTGAATAGGATGTAATGCAACACAAAAAGTGTCTTATTAAGGGTGGATCCGGTTAAGGTAGTTTAATCTAGATCTATGTTATTTAATCATATTCAATCTGTATTAAAATTGATAAGATTTTTTAATTTTTCATCTTCAAACACATCAAAAGTGTCCGGTTAAGAAGTAAACAAAACATTTCAATGAGCCAAGCCGCGAAAATTGATCTAGTTAAGGATTTATTGATTCAAATTAAATTTATTAATCTACATTAATTCATTTTTAATTAAGATTTTTGCTTAACCGGATCCACCCTAAGATTAAATGATTGATCCAGCTTACATATTTACAGTCAATATGTAAAATAAGTCTTTTTGTTCTAAACGCTATTCTGTTTATTCTCTCGTTGGCTTAATGTTTTTTATCAATAAATTATAAATTATGTTTGACGAGTATACAAAAAAAACTTTTATTAAAAACCATTAGTAAACTTTCTGAGTTATCTCTCTAACCACCATTACCTGACAATCCAAATTATATACATGGTTAAATAGAAATATCAAAAGAGTTGTTGAAACAGTAATCAAAAGTGAGGTAGCTTTTGGTATTATTATAAAATTTCAATTATTCATATTCACATTGCAACGATCGTTAATGATGACAAATGTTGATGGATTTCATCATACAAAATGATGGATAAAGTGTTTCCATCATCGGAATAAAAAAGCTGTATTAGTAATCCATTCATGGATTCTGAAGTTTCTCCACTTCGGGCTCTACGATTCTTGAATCGTAATTAATGTGTCCAGCGCTTCCTCGATGTTTCCGACTTTCACTTACAAAAGCAAATGTAAACAAGCCACAGCTACCAAAAACGAGTAACCCTCCAAATCCAAACGAAAAGGGTCCTGAAATATAATTGAAGCAAAATTAGACAATCAGTTAGATAATCAATTCATATCTCAATCAAACATTGAAAGATTAATATTGAGAATGCTCATTCTGGGCTCGGTTTGGAATAATTTCATGATGATTCATGTCTCACAATGAAAATTATTAAATATTAGTTCATAATTAATTAGATATTCTTACATGATGCTCTTTCAACACAAGTTCAGCAATAACATTTTTAAAGCTCAACTTTTCTCTTAAAATTGACATACAATATTTGATCAAATTTTTATGAACTTACCGACAACTCTTAATACATTTGATCCAATATACCTCTTGTAATTGTCATCGTAATCGGGTGGAGTAATTTCTGTGTAAGCAATACCAGTGAGGATTCCGCCAATCAACATCAGGAACAAGCCGATTAGAGCAGAACCAAATGAACACCAAGTTACAGCGGCAAAGTTTCCTATTTTTGTATAAAAAGGCATGATTATGATGTTGGAGATGAAACGAAGAATAAAGCGAAACTTGAATAAAAGTAAACTTATTAATCTACATTTAAGATGATTTCACTCAAGTGTAATTTGAATATTTTAACCAAACTTTCTCGGACAAAGCATCTTCTCGTGAAACTGTAAATAACGTAAAAGTTTTTTAATTTATCTTAATTTTTAACAATCAAAGCTTTTGCAATCAAAGCAACAGATATTACACTTTAGTTATCCAAGAAACAATATAAAGCCTAAGAAACGTTAACTTTTAAGATGTCAACCAGCAACACCTAATTTTAGGAGATAAGGTTACCATAGAGAGATAAGAGAGCGTTCAACGTTTTTTATCTTTATTGTTAATAATCTGGTTTTTGTATGTAAATATGGAACAAGAAGAAGCAAGGTAAACTTCACTGTTTGTGATTTTACATCTATCAGATATGATGATGTCGATATTTATCATTCCGTTCTCGTCTATTTATTGTAAAAATACATTTCAAGATTAAAGCTAATAGTCCATTCAGATTGAAAAGCGCTTAACTTACAATTAAAGTAAGTATCGTCAAAAGGAAACCTCCAAAACCTTTGCTTGTAAGGGATCCAGTGATGTGGTGTTTTTAATATGTAATGGATAATAATAAGCACTGGGCTTGATTGGGCGCAAACGGTCAATTATATGAAATCTCGCCCTTAGGTAACAAGAAGCAAGGTAAACTTTACTGTTTGTGATTCTGAAAAAATCGCAACTTACAATGAAAAAAAGCAATGTCAAAATGAAATCTTTAAAGCCTTTGCTAGAAACATTAGAAAGCAGAAGCATTACATCAAAATTTGATTGTTAGCTGACAATAAATGGACAAAAAACTAATTTTCTAATTACGATTTACAAATTATCACAAACACTCAATCCTACCTATTAATAAGAGCAATTCAGTCAAATGCAATAGCATGTCAAACAACCACAACCTGCTCAACTATTAAATCCACGCGAATATCTCGATCTGTATTGGCAGTCTTACTGTGAAACTATTTTCTTACAGCATTCAAATTTCGCTTAGATTTGGTCTGCACTTTTGCTTCAATAAAATAACAATGTCCCGGTAAGCCAACATATCAAATCCATCAAACATCAAACAGTTGACCAGCATTATATAGTGTATTCTAACTATGATTTCTGAAGTAATCAAAAGTTATTATACTTTGCATGTAATTTCAATGGGCTGAATATGGTTGAAATTTAATACAGTCATATTCAAAAGTTTAAAGCCAACGATTTGTGCAGAATCAAATCAAATTTAGGTACACTTTTAGGCTACCAATACTAGTCTTTTTTTAGTATAATATTTTCACAGGTATTGACTACTGATAAAACAAAAAATTTCACCTAAATTTATTTCAGTAAATCAGTGAGTGATTAATTAATCAGACGCTGTTAATTTTACATGGCATCTTTTTTGTCAAAAGTTTAAAGCATTTCATGAAAACTAGTGACAGGGTTCGAATTTTTCTTTCGGATTTTGCTATTCAATTGATCAGGTTCAGAAATCAGTTACCCAAATTTAGATCAAAAGATAGATTAAGGTAAAGATAAAGACATCCCATTGTTTTTATTTACATCTGGGTGATTGATGGTCTGATTGATCATCAATCTGATTGGTGAACCTTATCAAAAGTAACGCCTTTCAATAACTAGTTAGTTGATATGAATAACTAACTCTAACTAACATATTGCTATCATAGTGAGAAATTGATTAAAATTCTTTCTCTAGATTTCGCTAGAACTTTCACTGAATGTAAAAGGGAGCACATCAGCTCACACTACAAACATTTGGTATAAAAGGGACAAAAAATCTACGAATATTCAGTTTAAAGTATATTTTTGTTGTTTCATTATCTCGATTATATTTTATTATTTGAATCCATTTACCCTCAATCGGTAGTAACTACTTTTTATATTGTGAGTAAACATGGATGTTGACTTAAATATTTGTTACAGGGTCCTCAGCCTTCACTACAATGCAACTGCATCTGAAGTAAAGAAAGCTTATAAACGCATGGCCTTGCGATATCATCCGGATAAAAACAAATCGCCAGGTGCGAAAGATAAATTTCAAGCAATTAACAATGCTTATACGAAAATTATGGGTTCTATTTCGTAGCCAAAACGAAAAATTCAACGAGCAAAATCGGGCATCCCCTGGTGGGTGATCGTTCTTGGTACTACTGTCATTGCTGGAGCAGCGGCTTATGCAATTTACGAGTCACAACAGAATAAAAAACAAAAAATTACTAAATAACTAATAATGTAATAAGTAAAGGGTGTTGCGGATAAAAAGGAGAATTTTGTCTTACCAGAAATTTTGATGAAGATGACGTTGACCATGATAACAATGAAGATAACAAAATTGAACAAGTGTAGACAAATTGATTTATCAATAAATCGTCATCTTTATCAAATTTTAGAAAATATAAATTCTCCTTTTTATCATTAACACCCTTTATTCAGATGAGCAGAGTTAATACGATGAATTAAATATATTTTGAAAGAAATACTTATTTATTAAATCATTACATAATCTCTTTTTGTGTGATCAGATACTGGATATTGAATGATTTAGCATTAATTTAATTTTATTAACAATATTTTCGGATTAGAATCCCAGTACTCAGGTCTCCAACCTATCAGCTGTAGCAAAGATAACAAGGTATGAACAATTTAAAAATAGGTAGATATTGCTGATAAAATGTAGCTGAAGGGTGTTGAGGTTCAAGTAATCTCTTCCCCAAATGTTGATGAGGAGATAAAGATGATAAAAATGAAAATAATAATTAGTCTTCGCTACGCTCAGACTACATGTTCAATTTTCGATTTTGTTTTTTCGATATCTCATGAATGATTGTATGTACAGCTTTGGAACTTGGCAGTATGATACAATAGGTTAATAAGTATGTTCAAAAGAAATTTTTTTGAGATACGGTCAAAAGGGGGAAGGCAAGGGGCAAAATACCAGAAATCTGTTTTTAACCCATAACAACCGTTGTCAAGTGTTTTTACTTATTTTTTTTGACTAAACACACAGTATATGTACTGCCCTACACGGAGACCACTTTATTTCATTGATTTTTCTATGCTTTCAGCACTTTCTTTACTCTTGAAGTTTTGTCATATTTTTTGAAAAGTCGTTTTTACACCATTACAAGCGTTTTTTTGCACTTAATTTATGATTCTCTATCGAAAAAAATCACCACCAAGAAGATTTTACGTTTTCAACATCTTTAAAAGATTTCATCTCTTTTTTGGTATTTTCAGAGATCTTGAAAAAAACGCATGACAAAAAGTAGGTTTAGTTAGGTTAGATTCTGTAACTCTTTGCTTCTTAAATTGGGTTAGACTACGGTTAGATAATGGAAGTTTCTGTATATTTTCGCATGATGCCATTGAAAACAAAAAAATCTTTCTGACATTATGTCACATTGTAATAGATTTTCTAGATCAGCTAATAACCCTATGTCAGTTTCAAAAATTTGGAATATTCCTGAAATTTAATTAATTATCGTAGAACGCTCGCTCAGACTGCGCCGGCTTCCGGCTGACCTAGTAATAATAATATGGTTGATGAAGACGAAGACGATGAGACAATTTCAATAAGATTAAGATTGCGAAGCAAAAGATTTGGTTTCATTATCTCTGTTACTTCATTATTATCTTGAGCAATTTTATCAATCACCAAATTTTGTGATTAAAGTTGAGCTGAATTTCATGTTACCACCTTCATTTGCAGGCTGTTAAGTGTAACACACTTTATTATAAAATTACCGATTATCAGCAAAGAGTGATGAAACAAGAGCAAATTTCTGCAAGATCAAAGTCAGCATCAAAATTCAAATTCAAATCAAAGCTGCTAGTTTTTCCGAGGTTTTTTACTTTTTTGTTGAATTTGACTAAACAATTTGAGATCTGCCGAAACATTTGAGAAGCGACCTAAAAATTGTAAGCTTGTTTAAAGTCATCGAGAAATGCTGTAATAAAATCAAAATTGAATCGTCAGCTTTGGGCCTATGTATGCGATAAATAAGTATCTTACAAACTAAAATCTTATAATCAACAGAAATCGACAATGAATTGACTGATCTTACAAGGGAGGTGAGGGTAGTGGTACGGACAGAATTGAAAACTGATGACACCCTGTGATTCAGCATCAAAAATAACCTACGAAAACATTATTTTTCGAGAACGCATTTTACAAAAAAAAGAAAAAAAATCGAATTTTATATGAATAAATGCTTTATTCTTGTTGGTGATAGTGAAGTGAAATAACAAAATGATTGAAACAAAGTAATTCAGTACAATGAGAACATCTTATGAATGTCGATTCTTCACAGTTTTCGATCGAACACTTTTCATTTAAATTTTCAAAATTGACCTGGAGTACATTTTCGAACTCTTGATTAGTATTTTCTGATTCATAACCTGATTTGACTTAGGCATATCTTATCATAGGTTGGAAAATTGATGCAGAAAGTTGATTGTGAACAAGTGCATTAATTCTTATGACAAATTTTCGAGATCTAATGATAGATTCTTGTTCTGCATTTGCACTTGTGAATCTAGCAGCATCAACAATGCGTCTCATAAGGATCTTGTATTGGCGAAAAAAATAGACATCGAGAGGTTGAATCAGTCTTGTAGTTTTAGGTGGAATGGTTTTTATGATTAAATCATTTGGTTGAATAGCAGATGTGAAAATGGAAGCATCAGATTGTCCAGTAAATGAATCTTGTAGTAAAATATTCTTTTCTCCAACATCACAAATTAGAACATGTTGAGCGAAATTAGACAAGTTTCGCCTCTCCATTTTACCACTCTTACTGCAGTCTACGTAAATATTTGAAAATTTTTCCATTTCTTCAGCTACTTCTTGGCTTACTCTCGGTCCGAATCTACCAGAAGTCTCTTGTAAGCAAAGAAATAATTTCTTGCAGAGTTTTCCAGACTTACTAATCATCACTTGAGCAGTATATGAGTGCGTGGTTGCGGAGATATTCTGAACACGAGCAATCGTTTCTTTTTCGCCTGTTTTCGATAGAGTCCTATTACCTACCATCTCATATTCGATTCTGGTTTGGTCAGTGTTGAACACAAAATCGTCCTGAATTTCGGTATCACTTATTAAATTTTTGACATCCTCAATAAAAGCTACCGCTTTTCGTTGGATTTCAGCCTCGTTTGATTGCTCACATCTGGTAGTAAATCTGGTGATTTTACAGCTTACGATTCTGTTATTCCTTTAAATTCAGCTATCCACCAGCTTGAAGCACGAAAATCAGCAAAATCAATTTCTCTCGCTTTTTCCAATGCCCATGACTTTATGTGCCAATAATGGATGATATCTCCATTCTCTCTACCTTGCAAAAATTTAAATCTACAATAATCATTTATTTTCTTGCACTTCGAATGTCGTGATCCACCTTTCTTTTCCAATTCAACAATTGCTTGAATTTCACGCTTATTTTTATGAAACTTTGTAGCTGCTTTAGCAAATGAATATCGCCTTGCATAAGCTGCAATTTCAGTTCTTCGAGCATCCGTCATTCGTAGGTCAATTGCGATTCTTTTACTTGGCCCTGCTTCTTGACTTGAGGATGAGCTGGTTTGCTGACTTGATGATTGAGATGTTGATTGAGAGGATAATTGTTCTTCTTCATTATCACTTTGTTCGTCTATGTCCAGACAAATTTCTTCATCAACTTCTAATCTAGATGAGGCTCTGGCTTTAATTTGGCTTATTAAAGCATTAGCAAAGTCTTTTTCCACTATATTTGGTGAAGACGCATTAAGACCAGGAAACTGTGACGATAACTCATTCAAAATAAAGCCCACAACGTTACAAGGGTTGAAATTCATAATTAGGAATGCACAATATGAAAAAAATAAGAGATAATAACTTTTACGCTTTGAAAGCCAGAGAAATAGAAAAAAGAATTTGCGTTTCAGAGAGAGCATTTCTATCAATCAAATGAAGATCCAGATGGGCTTTCGAAATCAGTTCATCATTCAACTCACTGAGTTTATTTCTCTAATCAACATTACCTGACAATCCAAATGCTATTCAGGGTTAAGTAATATTATCAAAACAGTTGTCAAATCAGTAATCAAAGTGAGGTAGCTTTCGATATTAAAGGATGAAGACCATAAGAATAGGGAAAACTGCCTAGCGAGGAATATTTTTGAAATGAACATATGCAAAATTTTATACTGATTTCATTTATTCAATCCATTTTTTGAAATAATTTCTAGTTTTCGGGAAAACACGAAAAAACATTAAAAATGCATGGGGACAAGCGTCACAGGAACCAAAGTTGAAACCAGGCTAGGATTCAATTTTTCAGATGTAAAATTCAATTCTGATTCCAATGAAGTGATTTATTTTGATCTGACACTCAACTCCAAAACTGGCCATTATTTCGATAATTTGATTATTGCGAAGATTTTTTGTGGAAATGGCCAGTTTTGCGGGGTGTCAGATCAGAGGGGGATCACTTCATTGGAATCAAAATTTAATTTTACATCTGGAAAATTGGTTACTAGGGTGATTTCACCTTGCATTATTGTGGTACTTTTTCATTCATTTCTAACGTTTTTTCATGATATCTCGAAAACGAACGAAAAATTATTTGAAAAAATGCATACAATCAGTATAAAATTTCGCATCTGATATGTTCATAACAAAAAATAAGGCAGTTCTTTCTAGGCAGTTTTGGCCTTCCTCCTTTCAATGGTTCATTGTTGGATTAAAACAAGCGTCAATAGAAGTGCCAAATGTTGATGGTTTCCATCATAAAATGATAAATTAAATGTTTTCCTTCATCGGAATAAAAAAGCTGTATTAGTAATCCATTCATGGATTCTGAAGTTTCTCCACTTCGGGCTCTACGATTCTTGAATCGTAATTAATGTGTCCAGCGCTTCCTCGATGTTTCCGACTTTCACTTACAAAAGCAAATGTAAACAAGCCACAGCTACCAAAAACGAGTAACCCTCCAAATCCAAACGAAAAGGGTCCTGAAATATAATTGAAGCAAAATTAGACAATCAGTTAGATAATCAATTCATATCTCAATCAAACATTGAAAGATTAATATTGAGAATGCTCATTCTGGGCTCGGTTTTGAATAATTTCATGATGATTCATGTCTCACAATGAAAATTATTAAATATTAGTTCATAATTAATTAGATATTCTTACATGATGCTCTTTCAACACAAGTTCAGCAATAACATTTTTAAAGCTCAACTTTTCTCTTAAAATTGACATACAATATTTGATCAAATTTTTATGAACTTACCGACAACTCTTAATACATTTGATCCAATATACCTCTTGTAATTGTCATCGTAATCGGGTGGAGTAATTTCTGTGTAAGCAATACCAGTGAGGATTCCGCCAATCAACATCAGGAACAAGCCGATTAGAGCAGAACCAAATGAACACCAAGTTACAGCGGCAAAGTTTCCTATTTTTGTATAAAAAGGCATGATTATGATGTTGGAGATGAAACGAAGAATAAAGCGAAACTTGAATAAAAGTAAACTTATTAATCTACATTTAAGATGATTTCACTCAAGTGTAATTTGAATATTTTAACCAAACTTTCTCGGACAAACTATTAATATCTTCTCGTGAAACTGTAAAAGTCAAAGTACTCAAAGTTATTATATCTTGATCTTAAAAAATTAAAGCTTTTAAAATAGTCAAATTATCACAGATGTTACACTTTAGTTATTCAAGAAACAATATAAAGCCTAAGAAACGTTAACTTTTAAGATGTCAACCAGCAACACCTAAATTTTAGGAGATAAGGTTACCATAGAGAGATAAGAGAGCGTTCAACGTTTTTTATCTTTTTTGTTAATAACCTGGGTTTTTTTAGGTAAATATTGAACAAGCAGCAAGCAAGG